CCCACCGGCTCCCCAAGGCGCGCGCCCGAGCTGCCATCGCTGCACGGAGTTCTGACCCGGCTCCTGGCCAGGCCTGCACAGCCCGCCCGCGCAGAAGAGGGGGGGGCCCTGAGACTCGCCTGTGAGTCTCCCGCCCGGCCACTCTGGCGTTTTGTCTCGGCTCTCGCCACGCAGTTCGGTGCCAGCGACTCAAGAGCACAGGGGCCCCCGGTGGGACAATCCATGGTAAAGGAGTACTGGTGGAATCTGCCAGAAAGATTGAAGACGAATGGGCAGCCGTTGAGAGGGGCGGGGAGCAAGCTGGCCACCCCATCCCGGGCTAGGGTGCGCCCTGGGCCCATCTGGAAGCTGTGGGGGCTTTGTCCCAAGCCCAAGGAACACCTGGGCAGCCGAGAGGGTTGGACGCACTGCGGGGTGCGGCCTACCCTCCGAAAAAACGGCAGTTCCAGGCAGAACCCAGCCACCCACCGCCTGTTTGGCCTAAGTGAGCTGAAATGACCGAGATAATCCAATGACGATGCTGCTTCCCGGGTAGGCCCTACCTGGGGCAGTGACAAGGACTTTTCTCCACAGTTTCCTAATCAGCCACTACCAACCTCTTTCCCTACTCCACGGACTCTCTTCTCTTTTGTAGGATTTTGGCACTGATGCCAGCTAAGAGATGGCCTAGCCAAAACGTCCTTGACCTGTAGGCGTCTTGGATGAAACCCAGAACTTTGTTGTGTTTTTTCGGTGGAGGTAATGAAGTGGAATCCCAAACAGAAAAAAACCTTCAACTAGCTAGGCGATAGGGGGTAGAAAGGAGTGAAACATTGTTCTGAACACCTACCCCACCTACCCCGAGCTGGCCATCAGAGTTTCACATGGGTGAAAAGCAGGGTGTCTACTACAACAAGCAGGCCCCAGGGCTCTGGATCCCAACCCTTTAAAACTGAATTACAACAAGTAGGACTGTATATGCAAGAAGTTCAAAATTCGAAAGATGTAAAACTGTGTAACAGAGGCTCCCAATTCCCCTCCCTAGTGGGTTCCCCTCAGGCTCCCACTTCCCCTCCCTAGTCGGTTCTTGTAAATTGTTCTAGAGAAAATTGAAAGCTTTTGCAAAAGGCTTACCCCACTTCTTTCCTTGCTCTGTTTCCACTCTCCAGTACCCCCTGTTCATTTGACTCTTCAAAGCCTCCAAGAGGGCCTCCAGTTCCTTAGAGGCTGACATGTGCAGTGTCCCCTTTTTCCTAGTAGGGACCTGCTACTTCCTTCCTTGAAGCCTGCTAGCCTGTCAAACTCAGCATAGCTCAAAAGGACTCCTTCGGGTATAGGTGCAGCCCAGTCCCCTCTCCTTGCTATTTTCCAAGTCCATGCTTTGCCTCTCCTGTCTTTTTTCCTCCATGTCGTCTGTCCCTTCTGTAGGCCAATCCTTGATTCCTCCTCATTTGGATCAGTGGGACAGCCTGCCAGCCAGCCTCCCATTCTTCCATTCCCTTCCCTCCAGCCCACCCAACGCTCACCACCACAGCAATTGTCTAAGGCCAACTTGATGTCCCTTATCTCACCAAAAGCCTCTGTGGCTTTCCCTGCCTCTGAGTCACCAGGCTGCACACTGCTGATTGAACAAGATCCCACCAGATCCACTGCAGAAGTTTGGTGGTGTCCCTGAGCCTGTCTGACTCGGTCCTCCCTGGGATGACCTTGGCTCCCATACCAGTTCTCTTGCCCACCTCTCCTGTGAGCACTTGTCTTCTCACCTTCTCCAGCAGTCTGATTCCTCTGGCTCTCCTGCCCCCAGACCTTCTCTTGAACCTTCTCACGCCTGGTATCCCCTTTTCCCATCTTTGCTGGTCAAAATCCTCCAAGGCTTTGCAAAACCCCTCCATCCCCTGACTCTCACAGTAATATGTTTGCTACCATTGATGTAGATGTGTTTCAGAGTCATTCAGGTGTTTTCCCTGTTTCCTCTCCTAGATTATAAACTTAATTCCTAGCGCATACAAAACAAGCGATAATGGTTTTTTTTTTCACTTAATAACATCCCCCTCACTAATCCTCTTTTCTCCACCCCTCCAATAAAAGAAAGCAAGAAAACTCCAATAAATACTGAAGTACCTTTCTCTTTCCTAAATCTAAATACTAGTTAATATTAGTTGCTAGAGCCTTACAAAAGTAAATCTCACTGAGGGATGCCTTATTTACAGGATTAGCCCCTTTAGAATACATGTGCATTTAAAGAGAACTGGTTATTTTAAGCCATCTCCACATTAGTCAGGGAGGTGGGGTGGGGGTGGGCTACATGGGCTGTTGTTCACTGCAGTGGAAGAGTGAATGGTAACTTAGGGCTCCATTGCTGACAGGTTTTAGATGCCTGGTGAAAATGCTGTCCCTTCAGAATGTTCTACATATTATCTATCGCTGAAGGTCTGAGTGACTACCCAGATTTCATTTCATTAACATTCTTCCTCATACTCCCTGCTCTTCAGGGGTAGGGAGGCCTTCTCTGCAGCAGAGGGAAACCTCTCCCAAGACCCCTGCATCTTTTGGTTTTTTTTTTTTTTCCCTTCCAATTTTCATGAGCACAGCTTCACATCTCTAGCCTATTGGTCTGAGCCACTATGGTGCCAAGGAGTGGAGAAGAAGTTTGAGCCCCTCCCCATAGACTCCCATCAGGAACCCTGAAATGAAATGTAATAGAAGTAAAACTGTGTTGACTGTGCTGGTGCATCCGTAAGCCCCAACACGATTCCCGTCAGCCACATTGCTGTCCTTAAACCTCTTTGAGAGCTGCCACTGGTCAGACCAGGATTTAAATGTCTGACAGTCCTTTGACAGTCCTGTTTTGTAGAGAGATTTTATGAATCTCCACTTCCGCTACTGTAGAGGGCAGAGTGGCAAAGGGTAATGCATTTTCAACTAGTCCTTGCTGTTCACCAACTACAACATTAAACACCAAGCAGGTGCTGGGGATGAGGCATCTTGTCCACTGCTGTGTGGGGGCTGCTGTGGACAAGATATACAAAGGCCCTGCTTTCTTAGGACTTCCCTTCCTGATAGAGGGACTAGAGTAACGTATTTTGGGCTTAACCTCATGGTACCCAGTCTCAGCTGATGGAGAGAACACTGAGCTCAGAGTCAGCCTTGAGCTCCTCTAGTCCATCTATGCTGTTTATGTTTCTAGAATGATTCACTCGACCTCACCCATCGGTTTCTCACCTCGTCTCTTGGAAGCTTTCTGAAACTGACTAAGTCAATGTACACCCAGATCTTCTAAATGTGAAATATTCAGATGATCGGGTCTGGAAGTTTAATTGTGATTATAAAAGGAAATCTGATCAGTTCTGTGTAATAGCAAAAACAGACACACACTCCTCTCTCCTACTCCCCACCCCCAAGAAAAAAAAAAAACAACAAACACCCTGGAAAGAATCTGAAGTTAAAATAAAAAGCAGCTGGCAGTGGGCCCATTGTGTGTGATGATAATTAGACAAATGTTTTCCAAGTATGGGATGATGTTATGAAGACAATGGTTAGAAGGAAAAAAAACTTATGAAAGAATTTAGTGAATCAGTGATTCCTGCTTACCTAAAAAGGGTTTAAGTGACATACATATCTCACAATCTCAAATTTGGTAACTTTTATTCATTTTTTTTTTTTCATGCATCCTGGGAAACATATCTTCAGCTAAAAGAGTGAAGAAAAACTTGAGGCTTGATTTACAAAAATTAAAGCCACAACTAGGCCTTGGATCGAGGTTGTGTCCTGGGCCTGGAAAGCCTCATCCTTCATTGGCTCAAAGCTTTCCTGCCCCGAGGAAAAAGAGTTAAGAGTCTTAAGCTAAAGCAGCTCTTCTGCCATGTGGGACTCTGACTTGGTTGACCCTCTCCCAAATTGTTGTAATCCTGAGTCTGGAATGGATATAGATCCGGCTGAGGTGAAGGCTGCCTCCTGCTTCTGGGTGGCTTGGGGTCTTCTGAGCAGGCCTGGGTGGGGGTGGGAGCTACGGTGGAGGAAAAGCAGGTAACACCAGCAAGCTGGCCAAATCTGTGCAAGATCCATGCCTCCCTTTCCACTTCCCATCCCCCAACCAAATTGTGCTCTTTAGAAATCATACCTATTAGACATTTACACCTTAGTGTGAATTTTAAGGTCCTATGCTAACTCACCCAGGGTTATTTACCTTTTAAGCTTGGGCTTAGATGGTAGAAGAAAGTAATTCATCCCTATTTAAATAACTTCCAGTATGCAAACATGAGGAGGGTTTTGGTGGAAAAGGATTTGAAAGGGAAATAGGAAACTCTCTAAGTTAGATAGTGCAGGGCTGGGAATAAACTAGTGAAATCCCCTCTGCCAGAGCCAAAGAGAGGTAGCACAGTGGGCTAGAGATGGAAGAAAGAGAAACTGTAGGGAGACTACCTTGGTTTATTTATTTTATTTATTTATTCAGATGGAGTTTCGCTCTTTTTGCCCAGGCTGGAGTGCAATGGCATGACCTCGGCTCATTGCAGCCTCCGCTTCCCAGGTTCAAGTGATTCTCCTGCCTCAGCCTCCCGAGTAGCTGGGATTACAGGTGTGTTCCACCACGCCTGGCTAATTTTGTATTTTTTGTAGAGATGGGGTTTCACCGTCTTGGCCAGGCTGGTCTCGAACTCCTGATCTCAGGTGATCCGCCTGCCTCAGCCTCCCAAAGTACTGGAATTACAGGCATGAGCCACCGCACTCAGCCTGGTGCCGTATTTTTTCACACAATTTTAGTATGAAATTGTATAAAACATACAATTTTAGTACGAATACTAAAAAGCAAACTAAATCAGGAGTCTACCTCCAGAATAGGAAACACCTCAGTCTCTGATTCTGTTTGTGAAGACGTGAGTGTAATAATGTGCCCTCTTACATTCATATTCTTTACTCTAAGACCCTGACAGTAGCTCTCTCAGCCTGAATTGTCAATATTACCTGCACCAAACTTTGGCAAGATAATCATTGAGCTATAAGGCTCCAATTACTATCAATTATAAACAAGGATCATTACATTTTTTATTTTAAAAACAGCTAATACATTCACATGGTTGAAGAATCAAGACAACATGGAAAGTATGAATCAAGGCATCTCATTCCTATACTGGTGCCTGCTCTCCACTTCCCTGGCCTTGAAGTGTATAGCCAGTTACATCGGCTTCTTCTATACCCCACAGTGTTCCTGTAAATGTAAGTGTATTTTTTATTCTACCCCACCTTTTTAATGCAAAAGATAACATACGGTTTATACTTAACTTGTCCAATCCATGGCCCACGGACCGCACGCACCCCAGGATGGCTTTGAATGAGTCCCAACACAAATTCGTAAACTTTCTTAAAATATTATGAGTTTTTAGCGATTTTTTTAGCTTGTCAGCTATCGTTAGTGTATTTTACGTGTGATCCAAGGCAATTTTTCTTCTTCCGATGTGGCCCAGGGAAGCCAAAAAGTTGGGCACCCCTGGCTTCCACTGTTCTGTGTCCTTCGTTTTGATTTAAGTCTATATCCTGAGCTCCCTTCATATCGATGCACAGGGAGCAACAAGTATCTTAATGGTTCTGTTAATGAAGGCAGGGGCAGCTACTATGTGGAGGAGAACTTGATATTTGAGTACACCCTCCTACTTCTTAGTTTTTCCCTTCATTAAAGTTTTCCCAGTTTTACATGTGTATGCAATCTTCCTGGAAGCAACAAAAGCGGAGCCAACCTTCCTCAAAGAAAGGAAGATGGATCACTTTAGCTATTTTTTCCCTTTCATCTAGAAAAGCACTTTTTTGGGGAACGTTTTTATACATGGCTTGAGCTCATTATCCAAAGTTGGTCATAAAAAGAGAGTTTGCGCCTGCTTTTGGCTTCATCAGTCACACTCCAGACTCACATCTTCAAACCGCCCCCTTCCCTGGTCTGAAGGTCCGAGTTTCCCACTGTGAGCTGAATGTTGCCACTGAGGTTTCCACCAGAGTGCCTTCTCCGTACCTGACACTGATCCAGGCTCTGAGGCTTCAGCACCATCGGGTAGACAGAGGAAGTTTCTGCTCTCCTGGGGCTTACACCATGGTATGCGGGGCAGAGGACATACACTGACAAACAAGAAATATTCAGGTAGTGCCAAGAGCCATGAAGAAAAAGAAAACAAAAAAAAACATGAAAAGGGGCAAGACACTAAGTAGGTTATGACTTCGGGTTGGTGGTCAGGGGGCCCTTTCTGAAGAGGTGATGTGGAAGCTGAGCCAGCTATGGGAAGATGTGAGAGAAGAATATTCTAGGTAGGAGTTAGAGTGAGAGTGATATCCTTCAGAAACAAACTAAGCATTTGTCTGGCACCTCATGAACAAGTATAAAAACCTGGGGTTCATCACGTTTCCTGGAGACCCTTGCACTTCTCCGATCCCCTCGGGATCCTATCAGTCTCCTGGGAGCCTCCTCGGAAGCCCTGACAGCCCTTTTGCCCTCAGCCTGCCTTCCACCCCTACATCCCACTATTCCCAAAGTCTCTGCATCCGCCCAGCTAGTTTCCACTGTCACCACCTTTTGCCAGCCCTTATTGCCTCCTGTAAGGTTACACTGAATTTTCAAAAGAAACAAACCTTCAAGGCAATTGGAGAGAATGACAACTTGACAGTAATTAGGGCCCCACAGTCTTGATTTGTTTTCATTACTTTTACATGGTTATGACCTGGCCCCTTCCCCTACCAAAAAAGATCAAGACTATTTCAAATCCTTACCTTGGAACTGTGGGCTTTGTTTGGTGGCTGACTGTTCCTTTTGTTTGTTTAAATCGTGCAACTTCTTTATCTCCTTTATTTATCTCACCTAGCTTGAATAGCTACTTGTCGGGAAATTGATTACCTTTGTTATGCACACAGTTACAAATGTGTAGAAAGTATGAGACAGAAAGAAAATACTTAGTCTCTGGATCTAAGATGTTGTGTCCGCATACATAGCCAGGAGATAACTGAAGAAATGATCTACTTGTTTAAGCAAACACAAAAATAAGTGTTTTTGTTTTGATCTAAGTCACTTAGCACAAAGAAAGACTTCTGAAGATAAATTTTTAAAAGAACCTACAGAAGGAGCAGGGCCCACGCCCCCTGCCTGTGAATACGCCTGTGTTAGTTTAATATCCAGGCCCCAGGTCTCCAGCTCTAGAGCCCCGGTAGGTGGACCTGCAGGGCCCCAGGGACTCCTTTCTCTCTGGGATCCCAGGAGTCTGATATGATATGGCAGACCAGCCTGCTCCTGGGGTATGGGACTGCTTCCCTTTCTTCCTGGGCTGTGCTGGCTGATTATTTCTACGGAGGTAGGACTGAAGGAGAGGAACAGGCAGGGAATAGGAAACCCCATAACCTCTCAAGTCTAAAAGGGTAAATTTGGCACCAAGTTAGGGATGCAGGCTTTTATCACATTTCTGTTTCTGGACAGCCCTTTGTGAGTATTCCGCGGTGAGTGAGGTTTAGTCAAGCAAACTAGAATGTCTTTTACATTACTTTTCTCATAGGAGCAGTGCCTCACACTTGGTGGGCATTCAGAGTAGGTTTGTTGACTAGATTTCACTTGTTCATTCAGCAGATATTTTATTGAGCACTTACTTTGAGTCAGGCATAATTCTAAGGATTGGGGATACAACAATGAACGGACAGACAAAAGTTCCTGTTCCTGAGGAGCTTACATGTTTTGAAACATTGGGAGCAATTCCAGTTCTGCCACTTCATATAGGGATGATCCCAGGAAAGTATTTTCCCTAGTTCAGTTTTCTTCTATCTGTCAAAAAGTTTGACTAAAGCCTTTGAAGACCACGGCCTGGCTCCAGTCTCAGCCCTCCCCAGCTGCCTGCCCATGTAACTCTCTCTGAGCTTTGGTTTTCCATCTGAAAAATAGGCATGATAATGCCTTATTAGAGATATTGTGGTATTAAATAGATAGCATACATAAAGTACTGTGTGTCGTATACAGTAAGTGCTAAATGACTGCCATTATTATTACTAGGTGCTCTTGAGGATATAATAAAAAATTCATAAAGTATAGTTTCTGTCCCACTGGGATTCAATATCTACTCAGGAGGCCAGACTAAAAGCAAGACATAATCACTGAGCAATGCCAGAGAGCATATAATTAAGTGGTTCAGTAAATTGTAGGGTGCTAACTATAAATGCCATAGGAATTCAGAGGAGGAAAAGATGGATTTAGGCTGCTGGAGGGTTGGACTTGTGCCTGGATCTGCAGGAGAGGCATAAAGGAAGATTCAAAGGGCCTTTCTAGGCCCGAGGACTGAGGCAGAGGTGAGCGTGTGGGTGGTAAGAAGCTGGCTGTATGGAAAGGTAGAGTCAAATCACAGCAGGCAGGGAAAGCCCAGCAATGGAATTTAGACTTGGTATGAGAAGAGAAAAGAGACATCAGTCTTAAAACTCCCACTCAGGTCAATCTAGGTCAACAGAAGAGAGAGGAGAATACTACTGTCGTTCACTCTGGGTCCTCACCCTCAGTAAGGAAGGCAGACTGGTGGGTGGGTAACGGAGGAGGGGTCCTAAATAGGGCTGTTTTGGGGAGATGTGAGAACTTATTAACAACCCCCATAACACTAGTCAGGGATTAAGTTAGTAGGCTTGTGAAAAGCACTTTAAAACTAAGCAGTTTGATTTTTAGTGTTAATTTCAGGGTATAATGTAACCTGTAGGGATGGCGCTACTATTTGACTTGCCAGTCTGGGGCAGGAGATTATAAGAGTTGGTAGAAGCATGGAGAGGACAAACACCAACCTTTTGTGCTTGCCTCCTTCCCACCTCTCTGCCACCTTTCTCATACAGCTGAGGCTGGCAGTGGGGCTCAGGACATTAACACTGCTGCTTCGTTTCAGGGTCAGATTCCCTATTTGACCAGAGGATCTTGTGATCTGTGCTTTCTGTTTCCATCCTTTGGTATGAATGACCATCACAAGCAGTGTTCAGAAGACATGCAGTTAGGCATGCCCAGTAGTGAAAAGGATCCTTTATATCTCACCTTATTTAAACCTCGAGGCTCAAAACATTTTGCAAATACCAATGCAGTGGTCTTCTTCAAAGCCTAGATAAGGTAAAAGTCACAAAATAAGGTTAGATAATTCTTGCAGGTTGATGTTATCATAATGGCTAGGAACCTGAGTAGAAAAACATCAATATGCAATAATCCAATTCAAGTATCAGGGTAGGAAAACCGTGTTCCTACTTTTCAGATTAAAAAAGAAAAGCAGAGAGCAATCAGATAATCTGGGCTTGCTGAAGCTGAGGGAAAGGGTAGGCAGAGAAGTAGGCCCCCAAAGTCCTCTAATACATCACACTAGGTGGCTGCAATCAGAACATTCATTGGTGGGATGACTAAATTAATGTAACCAAGTGTTCTTTGTTAAAAATTTATTTTATAGATAGTTTTCTTAATTTTTAACTGTAGTAAAATATATATAACATAAAATTTATCATCTTAACCATTTTTTAAATTATTATTATTATTTTGAGAGAAAAAAAGCATCTCACTTCTTGCCCAGGCTGGAGTGCAATGGTGCAATTAGAAATCACCGCAGCCTAAACCTCCAGGGCTCAAGCCATCCTCCCACCTTAGCTCTCAAGTAGCTGGGACTATAGGTGCACACCACCATGCCTGGCAATTATTTTATTTTATTTTATTTTATTTTATTTTATTTTATTTTATTTTATTGGTAAAGACAGGGTCTCGCTTTGTTGTCCAGGCTGGTCTCAAACTCCCAGGCTTAAGCAATCCTCCAGCCTCAGCCTCCCAAAGTGCTGGGATTATAGGCATGAGCCACTGTACTAGCCTCCATCTTAACCATGTACAGTCAAGATATGCAGTTTAGTAGTGTATTAGTTCGTTCTCACACTGCTATGAAGAAATACGCGAGACTGGGTAATTTATAAAGGAAAGAGGTTTAATTGACTCACAGTTACGCAGGGCTGGGGAGGCCTCAGGAAACTTACAATCATGGTGGAAGGGAAAGCAAACACGTCCTTCTTTACGTGGAAATAGGAGAGAGAAGAATGAGAGTGAAGGGTGGGGGAAAGCCCCTTATAAAACCATTGGATCTTATGAGAACTCATTCACTATCATGAAAACAGCATGAGGGTAACTGCTCCCATGATTCAATTACCTCTCACCAGTCCCCCCAGTGACATGTGGGGATTATGGGAACTGTAATTCAAGATGAGATTTGGGTGGGGACATGGCCAAACCATATCAAGTAGTTTTAGTGCATTCATTTGTTGTGCATGCAATCTCCACAATTCTTTTGATCTTGCAAAGCTGAAACTGTACCCATTAAACAATAACTCCCCATTCCTACCCCCTCACTAAACTCTTGACAACCACCATTCTACTTTCTGTCTTTGTGAATTTGACTATTCTAGGTACCACATATAACTAGAATCATACAATATTTATCCCTTTGTGACTGGCTTATTTCACTTAGTGTAATATCTTCAAAGTTCATCCATGTTGTAGCATGAGTCAGAATTTCCTTCCTTTTAAAGGCTGAACAATATCCCATTGTATTCATATACTACAGTTTGTTTATCCATTCATCTGTCAGTGGACAGTATTTATTTATTTTTAAGGTGACTTTTTAAAATTTAATGTTTTGTATGGGTTACACATTCACATGGTTCAAAATTCAAATATTATAGAAAAGTAAATGTTGAGTCTCTCTTCTGCCCCAACAGCCACCTAGCTTCTTTCTCCATAAGCCACCAGTGTAATTTGTTTCCTGAAGATCCTTCCAGAACTGTTTACACACATGTACAAATGGTAGCATAGTATACATGTTGTTTGGCAACTTGCTTTTTTGACTTAACATTTCTTGGAGATATATATATTCATAAAATGTATATATACATGTACATTGTATTAGTCAGAGTTCTCCAGAGAAACAGAACCAGTAAGATACAGAATCTATCTGTACAGACACACACACACACACACACACACACACACACACACACACAGAAGGAGATTTATTATGAGGGATTGGCTCACGTGATTATGGAGGTTAAGAAGTTCTGCGATCTGCTATCTGCAAGCTGGAGACGCAGGAAGGCTGGTAGTGAAGTTCTAGTCCAAGTCTGAAGCCCCAGGAACCAGAAGCTCTGATGTTTGAAGACAGAAGATAGATGTCCCCGCTTAAGCAGAGAGAACAAATTTGCCCTTGTTTAGTCTTTATGTTTGAGTCAGTCCCTTGACAGATTGGATTATGTCCACCCACGTTAGGGAGGGTGGATTTTCTTTACTCAGCCTACCTTCTCAAATGCTAGTCTCTTCTGGAAACACCCTCACAGACACACCCAGACATAATGTTTTACCAGTCGTCTGAGTATCGCTTAGCCCAGGCAAGCTGACATGTAAAATTAACCATAACAGCCGGGCGCAGTGGCTCACGCTTGTAATCCCAGCACTTTGGGAAGCCAAGGCGGGCGGATCGTGAGATCAGGAGATCGAGACCATCTTGGCTAACACAGTGAAACCCCATCTCTACTAAAAATACAAAAAATTAGCTGAGCATGGTGGCACATGCCTGTAGTCCCAGCTACTCAGGAGGCTGAGGCAGAAGAATTGCTTGAACCTGGGAGGCGTAGTTTGCAGTGAGCCGAGATCATGCCACTGCACTCCAGCCTGGATGAAAGAGAGAGAATCTGCCTCAAAAAAAAAAAAAAAGCAAGAAAGAAAAGAAAAATTAACCATCACATGCATACATACACCATCTACATATCTGTATAATGTTCTTCTCTGTAATGTATTTGTCAAGTCCTCTATTGATTGATATTTAAATTGTTTACAATCTTTTGCAAATAATTCTACAATTGGAAAGTAACATGTTACATTTATCATTTTACACAAGTGAGAATACTTGTAGGATAAATTCTTTGAAATGGAACTACTTCATCAAGTGTTCATTTGTCAAAATGTGAGATTGTGATAGATATTGCCAAACTGACTTACATCAATTTTTACCCCTACCAGCAATGTATGAGGTTGCTTCTTCACACCTTTTATATGATGAACTACTTACTATTTAATCTAAAGTAGTTCAAATGTTAGGAACACTGTAAACGATGCCACAGCCCTGTGAAAAGAGCATTGTTCTTCCTTCTTTTTCAGTCTTCTCTTTGGGCAATTTGTGCGCCAAACTTCTGCATTTTTGACTAGGCTGATTCAAGTTGCAGGAATAGGGAAAAGAGATAGCTTAGGTTTGGCGCTGGGATAGGGAGCATTTCACCCAGGCCGTCTAAAGTGAGTGAGTGAATGCTCTTGTCCAATAGCTGTTTCATGACCTTCCTGAAATGACGGTGGTGGTCTGCATACAAAGTTTCCCACATAGGTGTCCACATCATCAAACCCCCTTCACCATCAGCCCTAATTAGCCACCTCCTAAAGCTGAGCAGGATGTGCAACTCTGTAGCCCGCAGACTCTTCCTCCAGGCCAGGCGCCAGCCCTTCCAGCTCAGTAGGACTCTCTGGGAGAGTCTAACACAGTTGCAACCTGACTGGGCTCTTCCTGGAGTAAAGACCAACACTCTCACTGCCTAATCTTTATCAAACACTAGCTGTTTAAAAGCCATTTCAAAGAGAGGTGTCTCGAGTTCCCCGATTTGTTTTGACAGCTAATGATCTAAGTGCCATTTAGTATTGTGAACACAGACAGCAGAATGACAGAGTGGGACTGGGACCTGGCCAACCCCTTCTAGCCCAGCACATAGTAGTAGGTGCTTATTGGGTGTTCCTCATGTATCTCACTCAAGCCCCATAACCACCCCTTCAAGTATTATTTCACCTATTTTATAACCAAGATTCCAGAGAAGCAAAGTAACCTGCTCCAGATAATGGAGCTAATTGATGGTAGAGATCAGGTTTTAACGTTGGTATTGTGCCCACATCTCCCACTGGACCTTCCTGTTGCAGCTTTTCCTTACGGCGCACCTCCTGCCTGGAGAGTCCTCACCACTCCCGCCAGCCCTTCACCCTGCGTGGTCTGGAACTGGCTCATTAGGAGGCCTGTGGCCAGCCCAGCACAGATGCTTATCAACCTTAGCCAACTGGAGCTTTCGGAGGGGCTGAAGGCAGTAGGAGATAAAAGGAAAGCACCACCCAGTGTTCCTAGAGAGTGTTGGAGTCCAAACTAAACTTCAAGCACTTCCTCCTGTCTGGACTGCCATTCCCCCTATATGCTCATCATGGCCCCTGACCCTGGCTTGTCCCTGTCACCCTTGAAGAGTCACTGATCTCTCTCTCTGCCCTTGGGCCAAGCCCTCCCCCTCTCTGCTCCCATAGCAACCCCTCCCAACACAATGAATTATAAAACTGTTCCCTCCTCTGTCAACACTCACTAGGAGCTTCTTGAGAGTGATATTTGATATCGTTAGGTGCTCACCTTTTTAGCCCCAGTTCCTCACTCAGAATAGACCTGTCCTAAAGTTTGTTAACCTGAACTGAAATCTCTCACCTGATCCAATAGTACGTGGGTAAGAGCCAGGAATCAAAGATGAAGCCAAAAGACCATTTGGGGAGGTGAGCCACAGAGTGGGCAGATCCAGAACCTTTGCTTGGGAAAAGATGCCTGAGGTCCTCCTTGGGGGTGGCAGCCCCATATTCATGGGTGGTCAATCTAGGTTATAGAAAAAGGGTCAGAGTAGAACATGCCCATCCCATCCCTGAAAGTCCTGGATTCAGGCCCCACCTCTCCTGAGAAGTCCATTCTGCCTGCTTCAATGCCATAGATTTCTCTTTTTTCTCTAATTCCAAAGCAGTCTTCCTATGCATTCTTGTATGTGGCTTTGTTCTAACTGGACATGACTTTGGACATATAATGTGTTTCTCCAAATCCTTACAGCTAACCCTCATTTAGCACAGTCTATTTGTCCAATGCTGTTCTAGGCCTAGATATATATTTGATCTCATTAATCTTCACAGTGACCCTACATGGAAGGTACTATTATTATAACCTTTCTACAGAAATAGAAATTGAGGCACAGAAGTGTTAAGTAGGTTGCCCAAAGTCACATAGTTAGTAAGTGGTAGGGCCCAGAATCAAACTCAGGTAGTCTGGCTTCAGAGTCTATGTTCTTAATCATCCCAAGTGGAATGGAAGCCCCTGAAAAGTCACACTTTCGCCCACTCCCCACCAATCTGTGGAGCCCTGCATACTGAGTAAGAATCTCAGTAACATCCTTTGAAGAACAGTGAGTAATAGGATAGCTGATCCAGACCTGCCTATGCCTGGGGATGTTATAGCTTAGGTCGGGGCCACCTGGGTTTCAAAAAGTGTTAGCTCTTTTTGATGTCCCTTTATGGCATTACGACCAAGGGTGCCTTTGGGTGTAGATCATGTCTTGGAGATCTTCTCCTCCTAGCCTTCCCCTTTCTGTGGATCTCTGTTGATTTATTCCCAGTAATAAGGAAAGAAAGCTGGCAGGCACTTTTCCCAAGGAGTGTTAGTGTGTGTTTGTTCTTCATTAATGAGATGGTGGAAACCATGCCAGCTGGAGTTTTACTAACCTGAAAGCCCTTGAATCTGACCTTTCCAGTATGGCCTTCAGTCTAGGAAGTAGACACCAGAAGCTGACGGTGACAGAGCAGGTGAGTTTTATAGGTTGGAGGTATCCTAGGGTTGCGGGGGAACTGGGAGTTACTATTCCCACTGTCTTAGGTGGGGGTGGAGGAAGTAGATCTTTAGCTTCACAAACAAATGGGGTAATTACACAGTCAGTTACTGCTCTTGCATTCACTTATAGTTCTTAGGAGGGTGAGGAAGAGAGAGAAAAAGGGGATGGACCTGCTGGGATAACATGAATTAGATCTTGGATAACAGATTTCTGACCAGCTCATTTTCCCAAGGTGCAGCATAGGAGAGCTTTTCCTCTACTACCCAGGCCTCTTTGGGGCTCAATTTGCATTAAGCATAAAGTTAGTGCTTGGAGTGTGTTTACTCTCATCTGGAAGTGGGTCATAGCATTCTACCATCAGGAAAGTAAACCAGCCCTAAATACCACATTGAGAACACCAAGGGTCTCGGTTAGCCACTTAGCGCTGGGGCTTGACGAAGGCGCTCCTGCACAACCCACCCCCTCGAAATCGAACCACAGTGATTTATGCCAGGTTAGAAGTAAAGGAGGCTGCTTTTAGTTATTTCACTGAATGTGCCTCCTGCAGGGTGGCCAGCTGGTGAAACACCCGTGTGGGCTGCTCAAGTTTTCATATTGATTTGCAAAGGCTCCCACTGATCCAAATGTCATAGCTGGTCTAGTATTCAAAGTTTAAATTCCTTGATTCGGGTCAACTGTTTTGTGCAAACCGAACCTGATGACAGTCTGCCCAGAATGAGTAAGTATGAACACTGATTCTAAGATGACATGACAGATCTTCAAACAAAGAAATCCGAACTTGCATATTTGCAGTGTTCACCTGCGAGGTCGACACTGACATTCTTCTTGTTCATGAAACAGTTTTGGAATCTCTCTTTGGAACTCCAGAATTTACAGTACTTTCTTTTGCATGCCTGAGGAATAGCCAAGATTTGGTTTAATTGAGGGTGCATTTGATTTTTGGAAACTATCAAAAATAATTTAGAGCCTAATCTGGTGTGTCAGGCCAGTAATCACATTGGGTGATACTATCTGGAACCAAAAAGCATAATTATCAAGTAATAGATTTAATTTTCCTCCTGAACCAGCCCTGAAGGCTGCCGAAAAGAAGAGTATAGTTGTTTTAGGCAATTGCTGCTTCCCAAAGTATTGATATCAACTTTAAAGGGCTAGTATTTACTTGGCTAAAAAGGTTATGAATTACTTGGGTTTTAAAAAAATCATTCTTATTACTTAAAATCACACACATTTATGTAAAAACTCCTCCTTCTCTTAAACAACATGTGATTCCATTGGCGTTTGACCTTATTAACCAGCACTGTTTTTCCTGTATTTGTCATAGGCCATTAATTTATTTCAATAGTCCTACCATCGCTCCTGTGTTTTCATTGGCATCAGTCCAGTTCCTGAATGTACTGCCGAGCAAGGAGCAAGTAGTTTATCATAACAAGGGGCCAGGATTATTGTCGAGAAAAGCAGAGGGAGGTCGCATCTGCCCTGCTGGCCAGGGG